TGAAGTTGGCGATTTATTCAGACCTTGATTTATTCATACCTCGTTTGACATTGAATGGTGATCTTGAGAGGTCAGGACATTCTGACTGACGCTAGTTCTTTCTGTAGTGAATATTCTGACAGTTGGAAATTGAAAATCGACAGATAATTTTTTAGTAATATCGAGCTCCCCGTCCTTTGACTCAGCTTTTGACCTTGAAGGTCACATGATGTTGCAAAATAAGGGTATTTTTGGTGTTCTACTGCCGCAATCGACCCTACAACCCTTTTTCAGACAATTCAAAACTCGTCGCTGAATAAATCGCTTGATAAATTGCTAGCTCACGGACATCCAGGTCTGTCCGTTATTATTAGAGATGCAACTATTTTGGCAATTGTTTACTATAGCTTCATGCAGTTTTCATTTATGATAAATTTGGCTGCTTATTAGCTACGCTTGAAGAGTACACAATATATCAACCGACAAAGACCACAGTAAAAGACCATGACAAAGTCCTATTGAATCTAACTAGAGAAAATGCAGCATGCCAAGCCACAAGTCCGCTTCCTCGACCAACATTACACACCTGCGTAGGTTTGACTCATTTGGGAAGCTGAAAGCTTCAATCTCTGCAGTAGGATACCAAGCCATTGTCTTTTTAAGTTGTGCAATACGGATTCACTCAACTTAGGCATACAAAATTGTGTATGGCTTAAGTCAATCGAAGGAGAGATTAGCTACAACAATATAATGTTTCTCATGGGGCTTTGTTAGGCTTGACAGTACAAACATCACGACTCATGTGTGGAACGTATTCTATATTAGAGCCAAACTAACTTAAGATATCCAGTACAGAAGGTCAAGTTTTCCAGGCTAATTTATCCAAACGAGTTGAGAGCGCAAAATTTGACCAGACAAAAAAAAAGAAACGACGCATGCTATCAGTGTCGGTCAGCTTAGACACACAGGTTTTTGAAACTATCTTCCAAAAATGGGCCCCACTTGAACTTTAAATCGATGGAGATCTGGGGAAAAAATGATTAAGATGAAACTGCAGCCAAGCGCAGGTGCAAGAAGACATTTTAATATCGTGGCATTTGTTTGCACCGCATAAGCGTGGGCTTCTTGCAATGAACCTAGGCGAAACAATATGGCTGAAACATCATGCACGCCTAACAAAACTAAGTCTAATGTGGGCAGGGTTAAAGCTTCTGCACTACATTACAAAACCAGGTTTTTTCAAGTGCTGACGGGGTAGCCTGCTCAAGATTATGGTATTTTAAGCTTAAACGTGAGTAGATCATGAAATGGAACATGTATATATCATCACATCAGCCACAAAAAGAGAAATATTCTCAGTCTCATCCCCTCGGCGAACCCAAGATGCCCTGTGCAGGGGGTCGATTTTTCCAGATTAGCTTATCTTAACGAATTGAGAGCGCACAAGTTTGACCAGACAAAAAAGATGCATCTTATCAGTGTCCGTCAGCACAGGCACACAGCTTTAAAGCTATCTTCTGGAAATGAGCTGCACTTGAATATGAAATCGATGGAGATCTGGGCAAACCGCAACCAAGCGCAGGTGCAGGCACATATTTTTACCTCATAGCTTTTATTTGCACCGCATCGGCGTGGGTTTCTTGCAACGAACCTACGGCGAAACAGGATAGCTGAAACATCAGGCAGGCATAACCAGTGTATCTCTGATGCAGGCAAGGTTTGAGCTTCGGAACTGCATTACAGAACTCGATTTTTCAATTGCTATTGGGGAGGCCGCCTAAAAGTAGGGTATTTAAACCTTAAACGCGAACAGATCATGAAATGGAAAGTGTATATCTCATGATATCAGCCTGAAGGAGAGTAATGAGGGCAATATTCGCAACCTCATCCGCTCGGCGAACCCGAGATGCTCTGATGACCGACATGGGGGTGTCAAGGCCACTGGGTCAATGCCGGGAGGGACTCGTATACAGCCTGCACCGGCCGACGCGTTAGCATCAGTTCAGCTCCCAACTACCACAAAGCCAATATGTGTTCCAAGGTGAGGAAAATGCGTGCATAAGACAACCACGCTTGCATCTCCGTATAAGCTATCTAGTCTGACTCACCTTCCACTCATCGTAATAACGCGATGAAGCATTTCCATTTGTGTTGTAGTGTGTGCAGATATATGCAGCTTTGTAATTAAATATTTGCCACGCTTGTGTCACCTTGGAAAACATTGTGCTACATTTGCTACGACTTACCGCGACCATCTGTTGTGTACTATCCGCTAATATCTCAGAGGATGTTTTCCCGCGCTGGCAGGTTCCCATCGCGTTCCTGCTGCTGGGTGCGGCCGTGGTCTTCTCGGCCCCGCCTCCTCCGTACCACGCCACCAAGGCACCGGTCCAGTACGAGTACCAGTACACCGTCTCAGACGAATACGCTGGGCTCGATTACGGCCAGACGGAGAGCCGAAACGGCTACGAAACGACCGGCTCGTACCACGTGCTGCTACCCGACGGCCGCGTGCAGCGGGTACAGTACAGCGTGGTCGGCGATCAGGGGTACGACGCTGATGTCACCTACGAGGGTGAAGCCAAGGAGTACCAGCCCGCTCCCAAGTACGAGAAGCCGGCGCCCTCTTACCACCACGCGCCCGCATACCACCCCAGGCCGTTGTACCATGCCGTTCCCGTGTACCACCAAGCGCCCGTCTATGGTGCTCGGCATTATGGCGGCGCCCGGGCCCGCACGTACAACCTGCAGAAGGCGACCGAGGCGCCCCTGGCGGAAGCCGAGGAAGCTGCAGCTGAGGAGCCGGCCGCCGTTGAGGAGGCGGAGGAGGTAGCGGAGGAGGTGGAGGAGGAGGTCGCTGAGGTCGAGGAAGCCGAACCAGAGGCGGATGCCGCCGCCGAGGGTGGCGAGGAGGTTTATCAACAGGACGCCGAATAGAGCATCCCGTAGTGGACTGTTCTTCCGAGACGGCGTCATGTCAACTGTTTTTTGTCGCGTGAAACCAAATCGTGAAACATGTGAAATATAACATAATGCGATAAATTGTTCTGATAAAGCAAAACAGGATGGTATGATCAATATTCACGCATAAAAAGGGTTGAAGGAGGTGGTGAGGTACCCATTAGGTGTCTAACACCTCGAGGCAGCCACTGCTTGTAGCTTACACTGTTTTCGACAAAAGGAAATTCCATTCATTCCAGACTATGCTCTTTAAGTTCTAAGACAATTAATGCAGCCAGTATCACGACACGTGTCAAGCCCATTAGATCCGTAGCGCAATTTTAGAAGCATTGCATTGCGAGGAGCCAAATGTCTTCGCATTTGATTGGCATGGAAATAACAAACTGTCGTAAAAGCAGAAAGACTCAGGACATGGTTTGAGATTGGGTCCTCATATTATCAATCTGACGTCACATCAGCACGTGTCCAACACATTCTAACCGAGGGGAGAAAAGGCGGCGGTCGAACTGGCAAATGTGTGAGACGTTGTGCGCAGTTAAAAGACTGTCGTCACCTCGGCCACCAGCGTAGAAAAAGGCGTGAAAATGTGAAAAGCAGTCGTGCTGCTCAGTGCGATGCACTACCTGTGTATCACCAAAAGATTTCAGCGCTGTCTGACCGATCGGCGCATTGGTTGTCGGCCGGAATCAGCGAATACCATTTTCTGTGAAAGTGATTTCGATTACAACCGCACTGCGGTCTAAACCGAGAGAGATTGGGAACGAGAAAGATTAAGCAGTTCGCGAGAATTGCCTAGACGTGCAGTCCAGTCCATCGCGACTAGCATTCGTCCACAATATTTAGGCCTCTTGTACTAGCTTGGCCACATTTCCTGAAACGTAAGTGATTACCATAAATCATTTTTTTTAGACCGGAATGGCTAAACCTGGCCAGAACCATACAGGTCGTCAATTTTCCAAAAACGTTGTTAGTATACAAGCGCATGAATGTTACGTCACCTCTATCTATTGGTTTGTTACGGAAGAAGGATTTTTCCAGGTACTGATAAGACCCGTTTATATGGTTTTCCGATACATTTAGCTTCATGAGAGCTGGTCTAGTGTTGTCTACGCGATAAAAATTATCGAACACCCTTGTAGTGCATTCCAAGTTCAAATACGTAAGAAACAGTTCAAGTAGCTAAACAGTCTTCCAGTGCGCTAGGTTGCCATAAACCTCCTTCATCATTTGCAAATGCCATTGAAATGAGTGGCATATGGCAGAGGTGTGGTATGCCTGTGTATGCCTGTGTATGCAATGTGGTCAGCCTGCTGCAACCTTACGGGCTTTATCTTAGAAGTGGAACAGTTCACCTGGCCTTGGTCTGACTTGGAGTTAGTTTTGAAAGGCGGTTTCATTTTTCCTGAATGAATCTGGTAGACTACAAGGCAAAATTTCCAAGCAATGCTAAGTTCCGAAGGATCTTTGGTAAAAGCACATGATGTGATCACAGATCTCAGAAGACACGGCAGCAAAACTACATAAGCATATGACAGGTCACAGGTATTCCACCAAAACCTTTAAAGGGATCCTGAATCATACAAGACTTGCCCACAACACTTCTAAATTGGGTCAAGATTCCGAAAGATCCGAGGACCAAGACTGACAGAGTCGATCCCTGGCTCGTTCGATCCTGCACCCGCAGCGGTGACGAGCAGACGTAGACATCGCCAGCGAGCGAAGCACGCGGACACGCCGGTCGCGGCAAACTGTCAAAATGACTTTCGGCCGTTTCTGGGGCAGTTTAGCGGGCAGCGGCGGCATGTGACAGCTGGTTACACCGGCCACGGGCGGGGCCGGTGACCTGGGCTGACCGGCGGCAGGTGACCGGGACGGCCAGCGCGGACCCGCGGGTCACCGGGTCATGAGTCACGATCACAGGCGACCACGACGGCGCCGGCGACCGTCGTAAAGCCAGACGGCAGCCTATAAAAGGCTCGCCCCCGGTCTTTCTTTAGTAACCTGAGCGTGGTGGGCGCATGCGCCCTGTCGCCGGACGGGCCGTCGCCATCGTCGCGGCGAGCTCGACTCGAGGACGTGCTGCCGGGGCGTGCGTCGGGCGCGGGTGTGTCTGTTGGCAGACGGAGACCGCCGGTGGGCCGACAGCTCTGCTCTCCACGCGCCACCCAGCCACGCGCCTGCACCATGTCCAGCTCCAAGACCACCACCCGCAAGTACACGTACACCTCCACCGGCGGTGGGAGCTCCGATGTGCAGATGGAGTTCCACACCGACCAGATGGCTCTGGCACGCATGGAGGTGAGTGTGGCGACCGGCAAGCCAGTGTACCGAAACGGATGGACGGCCACTGGCTCTGGCACCTGACCAGCGTGCGGTGCCCACAACGACCATCAGACTTTTGGATCGCCTGTTATGACACGGGGAGCGATCACGAACTATCTGGGCTGCCGAGGAAGAACGAGACAGCTGGATTTTCGGTCTGATACGGACGGGCACAATCGTCACATGTAGGAGTACATATAAATCCGGACCATAAATGTGACCCTCTGCTTTTGAATGAACGACGCCTGCAATGCGCTTGAAGTACAAGAACACAGAGAGCGTGGGGGAGGGAGGGGGGAGGGGTTTGCTACAGACTGCCCGCGGCGTCGAAGACAGTGAGACCCGCGTAATGAGAGTCTTTGTAAGCGCCCAGGTAGCCCCATGATAATGTATGGTCAATGACATACTCCAAGAGCGTTCCTCCTCTCGCAGAGGCTTTGCTGCATTCTGCGCCGCGAAAACGTGTGCGTGATCAATGCTTTTGTGAAATCAGTATTATCAGATCATTACAGCATGGAATCAACGCATAAACGAATGCCTTCGAATGACGCTGCAACAAGCGGTGTTTTAAAATTTAACGGTAAAGTAACGGTATTTAACGGTAAAAAGGTGATTTCAAACGCGAAACAAGCTTACAGTCAAATTCAGCCGGCAAGAGCCATCTAGGACCCAAACAATGAGGCATATTCCCATTACACAGATCAGTGTCAATTATCAAACACTATCCCCGAGCATGGTAGCTTGCTCCAACACAGTTGTCCATCGCCGGAACACGCACCACTGACCAATCAGAGGCCACGTTACTTGACACGACACCAATCATGGGCCACGTTACTTGACTCGAGATGCTACGGCTATGGTACCAATACCTACCACGTTTGCTGTGGCTGATGAAGCGTGGAGGGATTGGGTTGAACACCACTGACGCTGTATGTATCTACATTAGGGAAACGCATGCACGCACCATTGACGGGAAATATTCGGCGCTCGGTGTGATGTGAATACCGAGACCGACACAAACTTGAGGTCTCTAAATTTCGGTTATTTTTGCTAAGCTATCGAGCTAAGTGCGTTGCACTTTTTGTAAACAATGCATTTTGCTTACGTTCACATGAAAGTTTCGATAGTTGCTCAGTGCCTTCGCGGTGTACGGTAGTGCGAACTGCTTACCGATGCATGACGTTCACCTGGTGCATTGACCTCCAAGCACTGATGCGCTTTCCAGTTCTTCGGTGTAGTGCATTCTCATGAATCCTCCGTTAAATCCCTTGATCGTTAACAAAAATTCACATTGTAAAAGCGATCGCGTTTTTTTTATTTTGTGGTGTGACTGAAATCCCCGGCGAAGTCTTTTATTGAGATGCCAGAAGAAAACATTTGAAGCTTGCCTTATTTCTAAGGGTCATACCAGCTAGAATTGATAACTCATTTAATTGGCCCCTTTTTTCCTTACCTGCTCACAAAGGCAAGGGCACTGTCGCAAAATTTAGCGCTTAGTTGTTACGGTATGGTCGCTGGTCTGAATGACATACTCAGTCAGCGGAATTGTCAAGACCCTGTCCATGTAGCCAGTGGCAAATACTGCTTTAACACGGCTGAAACACATGACACTTCTTATGACATCTTAGTAAATGAAATAAAGAAACAGCGGCTTCCAGAATTGTTGCAGTTACATTCAGAGATAGCGTTCAAAATCCATTATCCAAATTACTGTCGAAACGATTTGTGACCATGCGCGGTACCAACAGTTGCACGGCGATGATCAGAAGAATCGCCTGAAAATTCCAGTTTGGGCTGGAGATTAAAAAGGTTGGTAAAGACTGGATGAACTTATCATGATAAGGTTGCATCCTGTCCCCCTTTGACGAACTCGCACGCCCACTCATCAGCAGAGCGGCCGAAGGAACGCCCACCGGCGCTAATCACAGCTGGGGCTGGGGACGGGCTGGGCACGGGACGGCTCGGGCTGGGGACGGGCTGGGCACAGGACGGCGGCTGGGACTGACATCCGGGCCAGCCGCCCGGCGTGCCAAGGAATGCGGCGGCGGCGGCCCGAGGTGACACTCCGAGCGTCCCTGGGCCCGCTCCAGGCGGCTGGGCCCCGCCACAGCGGACCGGCCGTCACGGGTCCCGTGTCTGGGCCCGGCGGGACCCGAGACCGGCGCGGTTCCAGCAGCCCGCCTGCCACTCCGCTGCCGACTGCGGGGAAGGCAGCTGCCTGTCCAGCGGGCGCTTGGAGCATTCGCTGACCCAATAGGCCACGGCCACAAACAGCGCACCGATCAGTCCAGTTGGCTGTCAGCCATGGCACTTACGCTTCCACGCGAGCAGGAGCCTTCCACTACGTTTCCAGATTCCTCTGATACGATGCACCAGTTCCAGCTCACCCTCTCATGCATAACTCCATTTCTCTTTTTCGGAAGCACGGTCTACGCGCCTTTCCGCATCTCCAGCGTTTTTCCTACGCCGCTTTCCAGCACACTTCAAACATCTCCTCCCACCTGGAGCCAAATGCTACAACCACCCAAGCATGCTCTGCCAGTTCTGTTTTCTGTTCAGTTGCTAGCGTTCTTCTGTCACCTGCGCCGGCCCTCAGCATGGCCTGTCGTTGTCATCCTCCGCCGGGCAGCCATTGCTCCAGTGTCACTACAATCCTTTGTGACCGGCTAAAATCGATAACGCGATACATCTCCACTTTGTTCCACTTGTTTCCCATTCATCGTGGCAAATTCCCATCACTGGCACAACCTCAGTCTATCTGAAACTCTCCCAACTTTGCGAACGTGGTTCTGCAAGCCGTGTCTTGGTGTTCAAATCTCCCAACAGGGTCATCTACCTCGACACTAGTATCCCTTCCTCCAATTCTTCCCTAGCATCCAGCTCCAGTTCCGCTCCCCATGCACAGCCCAGTCTGGTTGCCAGCTCTGCTCCTACGCTCCGTCGTCACCGTCCTGCTTCAGCTCACGGCTCTCGCTGTCCTGCACCCCGCCCGACGGCGAGCCCCTCACAGCCTGTCGGCGACGCCGCCGCCGGTGGGCCGGCCAGGGGAGCGTCGGAGCTCCAGTCGGCCCCCCGCCGCGGCGGCGCTGGCACCGCCCCTGCGTATCTGGCAGGCGACGCCGCCATGACGCCGGTGGCCGTCCCGAATTGTCGCAGCCCCGGCCCACGTCAGCGGTGCACCAACCACCTGGCAGACGTGTCACCAACACGGACACCGCGCCACTGGCAGGGGTGCAGAGGAGACTGTGCACCGCCTGGCGAAGCGCATCACCGACACTGGCACCGCACCACTGGCACCTGGCGGTGGCGGTGCACCAGCTGGTGGGGTGTGTCACCAGCACTGGCACCGCACCATAGGCACCTGGCGGTGGCGGTGCACCCGCTGGTGGGATGTGTCACCAGTACTGACATCGCGTTGTTGTGCCTCCGGCGCGGAAGTGCTTAGAGCCCTGGAGCTGTTTACAGCCCATGGTTCACAGTCCACGATTCACAGCGCGTTACCGAATGGAAATGAATCGCCGGTAATCCACTGAGCGAGAATGTGTTGTACTCGAACGTCTTATCACCTTGTCAGTGGGTGATCACTAAGCCGATCCTGTTTTACGCGATCACATCAATGTATTTTCTTTCGGCGTTATCTTAATCATACACCGTTGCACTAATCTTGCAGATAATTGGGAGGTTCAGGCGTGCCGTGCTGTACTCTTGGACGCATGAGCCTCTCTTCCTCCGCGTCCCCTCCCCCCTGAGATATCCCCCGGCCACGTGCTGTCGTGGCTTGAACCAGTCAAGCCCCCCAGCGATGTCGACCTGAGTGATGTTTCTGATCCATCGCCAGCTTGATTTTGGCAAACCACACTGATACGAAAACCAACCCCATTCTGGCTGTCATGTTACATGGATCCAAAGCCGAGTCAGTCTGTAAACAACGTGTGAGGGCCCGCTCACTCGACCATGCGCAAATACATTATGTATTTTTACATGGGGCATTAAGTGGTCACTATCCCGGCATAAACAGCAACTGCGATGCAAATCAGCTCCAAAATAAGTTCACTAACCGCCTGGGGTGATGCCCTAAGCTAATGTGTGTTTATCAGAAATATTTTGCAACAATGAGATGCAAGCAAAATTACCCTCATCCCCGCAATATTCCTTCCTTTATCATTTCTTGCGCGTTAAGAAGTCTGTAGCTTCAGGCTTGAACTGTTCCTTAGCTATCAAATAATCCAACGGCATCTTGGCTCTGACACGTTTGAGTAACAGCCGACGCGAGAAAGTTGTTGTCATGACCCTTAGTCAGCTGTAGTTTTATCAAAAAGAGTTATCAGTAAGAATGTCCAGGTGGAGTAGGTGGCACCATCAGTTAGAGTTCCCGCTGGGTGGAGTAGGTGGCACCAAGTTTGAGTTCCCGCGGGGAGTAGGGTGGCACCATCAGTAGAGTTCCCGCTGGTGAGTAGGTGGCACCATCAAGTTTGAGTCCGGTGAGTAGTGGCACCATCAGTTAGAGTTCCCGCTGGGTGGAGTAGGTGGCACCATCAGTCTGAGTTCCCGCTGGGTGGAGTAGGTGGCACCATCAGTTAGAGTTCCCGCTGGGTGTTCATTACTCGTCATGGACGGACATTCGGGTCGATCCTGGGCGCTGAACACAACCACAGAGCTACCACGGCGCCGTATGTGGGGTCCTGGCAGTAACATGGCGCCAGGCACTGGCAATGTTTGGATGATGCATCAATGACAAGTGCCCTGAGGTGAGCAGGGAAGGAGCCGGCGCGCGGGTGGATAAATTAAGAACCTTATTTCATCAACTGGGGAAATATGTGCTGATTTAATGTTTTAACGGCACGTTATGTGACGGGAAAATCGTATTTTGCGCTGAATCTGTGGTACGTCGATCTATTCTGATGTGGAAAGCATTAACAAAATGGATGGCTGAACCGCTATGTGCATCATAACAATTGATCATCTGTGCGTACATCGCCTATTCTTTTTTTTGCTGATGTTATCATGTGCGCTGATGCAGCTTAGTTCTGTGTATGCCTCTCTTCACATGCTTTGTTAACTATTGCTGCACTGCTCCACTCTCTCTTTAACCTATAATCGTTTTCGACTTTACAGCCGTTTGCCTTTTAACATGCGTACCATGACGACATGCGCCTTTATCTCGCAGGCGCACGAAGAGCAGCTGGTTGTGAAGCGATACAATGTTAGTAACCTGAATGCCCTCTCAGCATGCCTGTGTCGCCCGTTTTCGCGTCACCTGCCTCTCCAGTCACGTATTTAGTTACCGCATTTAAGCCACGTAGCACGTAGTACACGGCTGGAAGTGCCCCATGACTATGTACCCAGACTTCCCATCAAACCTTGCGTGTTTGACCTTTGCTAAGATTTGATGTGGCATGCTCGCCGATGTACGGCAAGGGAAGACAGCTCCGTGGTCATGGTGGAGCCCAACACGTTAGTGCAGCGCGGTTTGTGTTCAATGGTTATTTCTGTGAATAGTTTAGGTACTTAGACCATGTGTTATTGATAGTTATGTGTGGTCCAAGTCGATGAGACTGTTAAAGAAACGATAGCCGCATGAATGTGCTCCTAAGATTTTCGGAATGGTGTTACATTCCTATTATATTCTTCTGGCGCTGATTAGGCCGGTCTCGCGTCAACTTGTAAAACAGAGCCATTCTGCTTCGGTACAATGCATGACTGCACAGCCGACAGATGTGCAGCTTGACAGCTGCTTAGCATGAGCTTCTTTCGCAGCTTCGCAAGCTGCACACCTTCCACACTCCACCTCCACCGTGAATAAGTATATTGGTCGTCGCGGCGCCACGCGACTTTCGTGGGTCGGTATAGCTTTTCACTTTGAGCCGCATTATCGCCATCTGGCGCGACTGTTGCCACAGTACTGTGTCGGCGTCGTGACCGGGAAGCGGTAACGTGATGCCGTATCGCTGTCGTGATCCACTGTAGCTGTGGACACGGTGCCGTGTCACCGTCGTGAGCTGGTACAGATATTGACACGGTACCGTATCACTGCTATGACCGGGAAGCGTTGACACAGTGCCGTTCCACTGTCGTGACCGGGAAGCGTTGATGCGGTACCGTGTCACAGTCGTGACCGGGAGGCGTTGACACGGTGCAGTGCGGGCGGCCCGCGGGCTGGGTGACTCCCAGCTAAAAATACCCGCCCGTTTTGGCAGCGGCCTAAGCGTTCCGGCGGCGGCTGAGCGCCGCCCCAGCCGCCGGTCTTGTCGCTCACCATTGTTCCACGCGCTGGAACAGGTGACTCCCCGGGGCCACCACCTCCACACCCAGGCTCGTGCAACGCGTCAGATTTGGGAGACGAGCGGCACGCCCATCTGCGTATGTCAAGCGAGATGCGACGGGGCACCAGCGCGGTCGGCTGGCGGGATGGCTGCAGGCTTCCGTGTCAGAACCTCCAGCGTTTCAGTCGGAAGTTCAGCCAGCTCACTCGGTGGCGATTGAGGAGGGCCACGTGCAGTTTTGGATAGCGAAACTAGGCTTGCTTGTTGTTTATTTTAGGAATGCTGAATACTGTGCTGTATACTGCATGCATGCAGCTTGGAGCAGCTACATTTTATGCAAAAGTTTGTTCGGTAGTCATGGATAAATGGAACAAAGTGTTGATCTTAAGAAGTTTCCGACGAATATGCTTACACACGCGACTTCAAACGGTGGAAGAGGTGGTTAAAAAAGCAGTCTGGCTAGATCAGCTATCAGTCAGCAGTACCTCGGGAAGCAAAATGTCAGGGGGGTTTTCGTGAAAGTATCAAGTTACATTTCGATATAACTCAAACAATGAGAAGGCGAATGCCTGTTCTTGCCGTACCTTACTTTATGTTTTGAAAAATTGACGTTCCTCGGGCAGGCTTAAGCCAAAAAATAAGTTGTGCTTTTTCGCCAGAGCATCATCAACCGATTGATTTGTGTTCAACTTGAGCCCTGTTTATTTTCAAAAGTCACGGGTTGCACGGTTATCTTGACTTTCAGTTTTTCACAAAACAGGGCGTGAGTCGATGGTGTATGGTTCTATTTACATTACTCTTCTTCACCCAGCGAGGAACAGACGCTGCACCTCCCTCTCGTGTTTTGTTCTCTTACCGCCCTCTGGCAGCGTCATGCAACTTTGTGACTTTCACGCAATTCGCACACGTGTGCCCAAATTTTAAAGAAACTGGTCACGCAGAAGCTGTTTCATGCTTTCGCTTTTGATAGGCTATCAGTTGCGCCATGTGAGTAAGGTGTGAAAAAGGTTGCTGGTTCATTCAGACAGCCATATACATGTACACGAAGGCTATGTCCATAAATGTTCTGGTGGAGTCGCACTCAGGTACTGAAAAATGGAGGGCACACTGGTGCATCATCCGTGAATTTTCGCGCATGTTGCCAGTGCACACTGGGATGGTGCCCGTGATGCACGTGTTGCGTTCAGAACAAACACCAGTTTGTCGGGTCTGGTGACCATCTGCTTTGCGTGAACTTAAGGGAATGCGGGCGAGTACAGAGGACGGTTTACGGCTTATGTGGTTTTGGGTGAAACACAGATGGACAACCAGCAATGCATTCATATGCATAAATTACGTTTAATATGCATCAAAAATATTTGGCAGAAGCACACCGTGTTACTCAAACATGGGTGAACGAAGCGACAGGTTGACAACGAAAAGTGACGTTAAGGGTGCCTTCTTCACGTGGCTTACCTAGGTGTCCCCGGTGCGGTATCTAAACCACCACAAATGGATCTACCAAAGTCTACCACATCAAAGGTCTTTAATCTTTCTAGCGCTCAAAACGAGCAAATGACACAAATTTGGTGATGCAAAAATGCTTCTTTCCCCACCCTGTTGTCACCCACGATCTGAATTTCAGCTTTTAGATTCATGTGTATGAAAGGCATTTTCTTTCCAAGTCGATCTGAGTTTCTAGCATATAAATACTTCTAAACATTAGCGCTGTCTTGAGAATATTGACCTTGGAAAGAATATTTACGTTCGGGTGCGTTTCTCGACCTTTTTAATTTTGCACTTCAGGAGTGTTTAAATGAAGATCCTGTTCGTTCAAGTTAAGTGGCGTTTGTTCCACCAAAATTCGATGGGCGGTTCTCGAGACCTCTGGGGGGAGGGAATCTACCCCTCTCCGAAGATTAACGTAAATGCCACAGCCCACTGTGACTGCGGGGATGCACAACCTTCAAAAAGGCATGCTTTTAAAGAACCTGATCAGTTGTTTTATCACTGGTGATAGTTAACCACAATGTGCGTTCATTTGAAGCCAAGAATTGGCATATCTGCATACATCGTGCCGTCTTGAATCACGAAAGGCCTCAGCGCATGGTCGCAGCGTCGACAAAAAAGCTGTCGATATATATTATAACATGAAGTATCCTAAATGTTTCCATCTGTTCTGCAACTCACCAAGCGAGACTTATCATGTAACCTTTGATGTAAATAGCTAACGAAAATACCCTAAATCAGTAACAGTGATGTTATTTTGTTCAAACAGCCGTTCTTGTGATTTACGCGAAATTGCCAAATGGGGTTATGTAAATGGGGTGAATGGTCTCTTTCTCTCTCGGGCGTGAGGGAATTCTACAAATACATTTCCATTATTATCAATACATGAATGGTGAGGGCATTCGGTAGCAATTTTTTTATCAAAGTTTGATGCGATACCGCAAAAGGGGTCACAGCAAGGCTCGACAACAAACAGTTTTACATACAACTTATTTAGAATTTTCCATCATCGAAAAGAAACTAGAGCGTGCATTGCCGGCTGAAAAAGGCCACACTTTGTAGTGCATTCGTATATTGGTAGACAGCACAACCCACGTTCACGAGATCACATAGTAAAATGTGAAATAGACATCGATCACAACAGCGTGCAAACTTTGCTAAGGGCAGCTTACGTATAAATACACCTGTCACTACTCTTGATGTTTTCTTACGAGCGTAGATAAACAAAAATGGCTGTAGTGAACTGTCAACGACGTCCGCGGCCGTAGCTTGCTTGCCTTTGTTTTGTTCGATAAGCAGGATGTATGGCTGCCTTCATGGCATGAACAAACGTTACGCACATGTGTCAACTTCAATGTGAGACGTAAGGTGTAAAGTTTAGAGTCTTGAGCAATTTGCTGTGGAAGGCCTGAGATCAAGAGGTTTGTACTTGTTAACCTCCGGTAGCTATCAGGGAATAGCACAATTTTCAGGTACGTTGAAAATCAGATGAGTTCAGATGAAAAGGAATTGTTCGGACCATCGTCCTCATCTGGTGGGTCAGTATGTACGTAACGTTTCGTTCAGTTATCTCCCAAGCAGAGATCATGTGTTATGGAACGGAATTAGATGATCTTTCCCGGTTAGCTCAGCTGGTAAAGCACTGGACCCGCTCTCAGAAGACCTTGGTTTGAATTCCAGTAATTCCAACGACAGATTCGGCTTGTGATGCGTACTCGGCTGATAGCCAAGCTTCCTCCAGCCCTTTTAAGAAACCTACTTAGAAGGACCGTCGTCAGGTCCTTCGAAGAAACACCTGACAACGGTCGGAGAGATAACCAACCGAAACGCTGTGCACAAGCTAACATACCAGGCGAGAACAACAGGCCGCCCAATCTTGCCATCCGTTATACTAATGCCTCGGCCCAATCCTTGTGTAAAACTGTCTTATTATTTCATTTTGCATTACATCATTTTACATTATTGAATTTGTTCAGCTTTGGGGTTTCAAGCATTTTGTTGATTATAAAAAGCCTCCATCTGTGTCTACCTTGACGTCGATTTACTCTGGTCTGACTACACGGTCTCTCTCTCTCTCTCTCTCTCTCTCTCTCTCTCTCTCTCTCTCTCTCTCTCTCTCTCTCTCTCTCTCTCTCTCTCTCTCTCTCTCTCTCTCTCTCTCTCTCTCCCTCTCTCTCTCTCCTCTCTCTCTCTCTCTCTCTCTCTCTCTCTCTCTCTCTCTCTCTCTCTCTCTCTCTCTCTCTCTCTCTCTCTCTCTCTCTCTCTCTCTCTCTCTCTCTCTCTCTCTCTCTTGCCCTGCTCGGCCCCACCTGGCGCTGTCCCGCCCTGCTCGGCCCGACCCGGCCGTCTGCCCCGTCGGCTGCGGGTTTCCCATCCGCCCGACGCGGCCGGCGACAGCCGCTCGGCCGGCGTCTTGGCCGCCTCTCCCGCCGCATAGCTGCGCCAGCCAAAATTACCGGTACGGCCGCGGCCGCGCCGTCCACGGCGGATGGCACCGGCGCGCTCAGCACGCTCGACGACGGCCGAAACTGCACCAAGGCCGAGTGCCCGGCTCAGGCCTCGGCCGAGATGAGAGGGCCGTGGCGCGCTCCAGGCTGGCACACGCTGTCTCAGCAAATGCGAGTGCTGGGAAGGTCGTGGAGTAGCAGAATATCACGTGGATAGGCCGCGGTTGATCAGCCAAGCTGGTACGCGTCTTCTTGAATGAGTTTCCCATACAGACTTTTTCGAATATCTCGTCATTCGATGTCAGAGATACAGTACCGTGCTGTTTTCAAGGACAAGCGCGTGGCTCACTCGAATGCTGCACGTTCAGCGAGACTCACACAAGAGTATGCTGTAATCACGCTACGAGATCTCCTATACTGGTCTGCGAGATGTTTAGTGAGAACTAACAAAAATCGTTCTGTTTACCGGGCATGTCGTTATAAAATCTCAGTTGGACGTCATTGTTGTACCACACTTATTCACTTTTGTAAGACAGTAAATTTTGATTAATTTAGCTATCCCACTGCTGCATTTGTGGTACACATTTACTCATCACTGCTGCAGTTGGACTGTGGGTCAGAACGAGCGTTATAAAATATTCGATTGCTGTACGCCACATGTCATGGAAACGCTTCCGTAAATCTCCTGGCAGCGATTCAGCTCAGGTTAGCTCCGCACAGTAGCATGAAGTCACATAATCAAAACCCTTATGCATGCGGATTAGTTTCCTCCATCATCATAGAACATAACCGCTGCATGATCTGGAAGCGTTGCCTCACGCATTCGATGTTGTCTCGTCCCCGATCCACTCGCTGATTTTGAGTCGCAGAATCCCGGCGGGCACTGGTTTGTGAAGTACGTGCGTATGCCCACGTGTGAAGCACGGCACATACCCTGTTACAAACGATCACGATGATGTCTGAACAGTCGTGTGTTGAGCATCAGCCCTGTGGGCGCAGTTGGAAAAGCGTCGGGTGTTCCGGTCAAGGTGCTAAGACGTGAGGGCTTGCTTCTCAAGTGCTTAGCTTATGCGACTTGTCTATGGCGGTCATTCGTCGACAGACAACCGAGAAAGTCAGGCTGGAGCGAGCCGACCGCGTCTCAGCATTATCTGGCACCTTAAAAGCGGTCAGAGAATGTTCGTTGAGCTGGATTATTAGTTTTTTAGATGATTTACTTTTATTATTATTTGGCTTTTATTTATTTACGATGACTAGGTAGACATCAGGACCAACGAAACTAACCAATGTCACTGACGCGTCCTTGCACCTCCCGCATCAAAAGCCGTTTAGCGGATACTGCGATTCCACTAGTCACCGCCGCACAGATTGCGGGGAGAGTTGCTGCAAGACGTGTATTCCATCACTTAACCCGCAACCGTGTCTTTCCACTAGGAAGGGACTCTAAAACCAAATGCAATCGTGCTTCCTTTTTCGAAGCGCACCGCCAGATCGGCATCGAAAGATGTGCGAGATATGGTCGGTACCATTCAAGCCGCCACCCTAGAGCAGTTGAGAAGCAGGCTAAAGAGTGTTTTTATGTTACTTTGATCCCCATCCCTTCCATGAGGCTGAACGATGTGGGCTGCGCGCGGGTTTTGCCGCGGTTGAAGTCTTGCGTCACACCGTGACGCGCGTGCCCTGCCGGTGAGAGGCATCGGTTGTGAGCAGACGTGGGCCTCACCTACCTCACTTGCGCGTGCCCCTCCCTCGATCACTAACCTGCGCTCCGTGCCCCCCAGGACAGGATCCGCCAGCTCCACGAAGACCTCGAATCGGAGCGTGAAGTCCGCCAGAGGGTGAGTGCCGTACTCACGTCCGGACTTGGTCAGGTCGTATGTCGTTCAGGAACTCAGGTGCACGTCCGTGTACACATGCATCACACGTGTCCGTGCACACATAGCTCACGCAGAGCACGCATCGCAAAATCGCCGGATGTTGTGGGTTTGTCTCATGAAACCGGCTTCTGCTGTCACCACTGCTGCTGATCGCGGAGTGTTATTGCTGAAATATTACGGTCACGTTGTTGATTGTAGGTTGTGCATGATCTCCACATGTTTTTCGCACCACGTATGAGTTAACGTGATAGAAATAACGCGTCAGCTGACTCTGGGCGGCTCAGAACTGTACAGTGCACATCGGTACGTTTAATGCAGTTTTGGTCATTTGTCCGGACACAGGACTTATACTGCCAACCCAAGGAATATTCCCCGGAGGTTGAATGAATGGCCTTACTTAATCCAGCGGCTTCTTTGTTTGATCGCCGACCTAATCAACACTTGCCACTGATATCCCCCGCTGTAGTGGCACAACACTGTTTGCTTTCCAAACAGACGTGTTTTGATTTTCCTTCGATGCATCAAATAGCGGCCTGACGTAGACAAACACACCTCTCAACGGCCCGAGACAACTGCTTTGGAGGGTTCCAGCTGAACCTATAGAATTTGTGGATGCACGAATTTGTTTTCATAGAGTGACTTGGATTTGTGTGTTGAGCTGCACGTCGCACTTTACACATTTTATAATAAACTGCTGTCATGACGAGCAACCCACTTCATTCCTAAGGAGACCGGTCTTTTCCGACAGTTTGATGGCCATTCCCTGTTGAAATGTCTGTTCTTGCCACTACCCGTTTCACACCGCACCGGTCCCAGACCTTCTCCGGCACTGAATCTGATATTGAATATGGCTTCTTCCAGCTTGGTTCCAAAAAACTGTTTTTGTTTTACTCCGGGAACAATTGTTTTTGTTTCAAGCTCATCTCTGGACCTGCATGCCACACAACTAATTACACTCGAAAAAATCTGGTTATCCTTAACAGTCAGAATGTCTACCGGCTTTTCTTTCTCATTTTCGTTGAGTTGGGCACCTAACTAGCGGTATAGTCCCCTGCCCGCCTGCCCTCCCAGTGCTCGTGAATGAGAATTTTTCCCGCCCGGTGAAGGAAGTGTGTTTGGAGCTCATCACTTGACACACTCTGCAATCACTGGTGACGGGGCTGATGAAATGGCCTCCTGTGTCGTATATGCAAGCCTTACCATGTAACTCTATGCTTTGGCAGCAAGTCGATGTGTCTATAGTGCTGTAATTTCTCCCTTTTTACATGAGACGTATCTGACGCCTCATCGAGCTCGATGCGATTGTAGTCAAGCTGTTTCTCCAGCTTTGTGGAACTGAGGCAAGCAGGACTACTGAAGGCCACATACTTGTTCGGCACAGACAAGATGGGGTTTAGTTGTTTGTGCTCAGAAATGGGGTTGAGGTGTTTGTGCTCAGAAATGGGATCTAGTGTTCTCTGCAGGAAGCATGCCAAGCCTGGGCCCTCTCGAGGCACGCCCCTAGATCTATTCCTGGTGTGAAGCGCACCGGCTCTGGCTCAGACAGGGCTCGGTAGAAACCATTCAGCCGGTGGGGAATGCTGCTGCGCTTGTTGAGTGATCACATGCGTATGCTCGGAGGGTTGCGGGGGTTGCGGACGGAGCAGCGCGCACAATGAGTCATCAAAGAAGCGAATGGTCTATCCCGGTGGAAATGTGTCACTACGCGTATGCCGCAAAAACTAACGAACTGCCTGGCCCAGACTCCGGCTGGGAGTTCTGTTGTTTCCCTGCTCCTTTGGCCATGCTTGCTGCGCAAGCTGGACGTGTAGGGCCGGTGCCGCCGGTGCTGTGACAGCCCCAGCTGTGACGGCCCTAGCTGTGACGGTCGGGACCGTGCGGCCCGCGCAGGACCGGTGCCGCCGGTGCTGTGACGGCCCTAGCTGTGACGGCCTGGACCGTGCGGCCCGCGCAGGACCGGTGCCGCCGGTGCTGTGACGGCCCTAGCTGTGACGGCCTTAGCTGAGACTGCCTGGACCGTGCGGCCCGCGCCGGTTGACACTCCAGCGCCGGCCTCCGCCCGGCCGGCGACCTATTTCTGGCGCGAATCTGGAACACTAGCCGCTGCGACCCACTCCCAGCACAAATGGAGACGCGGCGAGCCGACAGCCAAGCGGCAGGTGTGCAGACGCGCCCCCTCAGTCTGCAACGCCTGTCACAGGCGGGCGAGAGCCAGGCGGGCCGACAGCCCGGCTGCCGGTAGGCGTTCCATCCCCAGCATCAACCCGCACTACCAATAACCACTGGCTTGGCTCCAGACGCGAACTCTGAATGCAGCTAACGCCTCTTATGAATACGTGGTTATCGTGTCTCTTAATGTTCACAGGCTCACAGGCTCAGAGTATTTCGGCCCAGCTAGGGGGTAGCCCGATGCAGAATTGCACCCATGGTCAAAATTATTGCACTTTTAATCTAGAGAGAAAGTGAAGGATCAAATACCAAAATTTGGTATTCCTATCGCATATTACTGAGCTGGGGTCGGTTTTCTTACCCATATAAATGCTAGATTCACAGCCTGTGGTTTGAGTTCCAAGCCACCCATATAGGCCACCCGGATCATGTTTTTAGAAGCAGCATGCAGTTAACTGGCAGCAGTATAGCTGAGACAGGAATAAGACTGCCGAATCCCAGGCGCATGTCCCAGACGGAGAAGTTCGTGATGAATGATCGACTGTCCACTTAAGTTGTCCAATACGTGCCGCTGATTTTGATTAAACCCCATATAAACATTTTTACCCGATAGCTTCGTAGAGCTGACCCGTGGCCCGTTCCGCAGAGATGAGGCGTGGTCCGTTCCGTAGAGCTGACCAGTGGCCAGTTCCGCAGAGCTGACTCGTGGCCCGTTCCGCAGAGCTGACTCGTGGCCTGTTCCGCAGAGCTGACTCGTGGTCCGTTCCGCAGAGCTGACACGCGGCCCGTTCCGCAGAGCTGACTCGTGGCCCGTTCCGCAGAGCTGACTCGTGGCCCGTTCGGCAGAGCTGACCCGTGGCCCGTTCGGCAGAGCTGACTCGTGGCCCGTTCCGCAGAACTGACTAGTGGCCCGTTCCGCAGAGCTGACTCGTGGCCCGTTCTGCAGAGCTGACTCGTGGCGGGGCTGAGCCTGCCTGACCCGATGTTGCAGATTGAGCGTGACAAGGCCGACCTGAGCGTGCACCTGATCCAGATGCGGGAGCGGCTGGAGGAGGCGGAAGGCCGGCGTCGACGGCCAGGTTAGCAGCCGCTCCCACCCGGGGCCACCCGACCTCAGGTCAGGGCCAGGCTCAGGGGCAGGCTCTGGAGCTGGCCGGAGCTGGCCGGGTCACCCAGCTGGGCGGGCGGGCCTGTCCCAGCCCTGGGAATCGGTGCCCTTCTCCTGCAGAACATCGTGGCCCAGCCCAACCGGCAAATGTGCTGAATTCCCTTAAACCAGCCCAGCATAAACTGGGACCTTTCCGAACCACTGGATAGTGTCCAGACCGTCCTATTAGGCTGTTGTATATTATTACGTTTATGTTCATCGGCTCGACCAGTCCGAGCTGACCGTCTGAACAAGCTTCCGAACAACGTTTCACTTCGGTAACACAATCAGCACGCATGAACAACTTCTGCAGTCCGTTTTACCGTGATGTTATTCCAGTGACACCTTGTTGTCGACAACCAGATCCCTTTGGCCGGGATGTGGTGTGGATGTGGATGTGGTCACACACGGTCGCAGTGGGGCACGGTTGTCTTTCTTATTGCGCCGTTCCTCAATGATCGGGCTGCTGCATCCTGCTCGCCAGCTGCGGCTTGTCCCTTGGTCACACGTAAACCAAAGCTCTTGTCGCTCAAAACTGGGTAGAATGTACCGTTTTAAGCAAATACTGAACACGGTAGTATCATAATATCCCACTTTAGTCGGATTTTCGAAATTTCAGTTGTACGAATGCTAACCAATGCACCGTAGTTAACCCACGCCGTTAGTTATGCGTTCATAGTGGACTCGTAGGTGCGTGACAGAACAATTTGCCATGCACAGACGCGTTTAAGACTCCGTGTATATCTTGGATTTGCGTTCATAACGGTCCGATTCAGAATTTCAGCTAAATATTTTTCGGAACAGATGGAAATCAACAAGAAGCGCGACAATGAGCTCCTGAAACTGCGAAAGCTGTTGGAGGATGTTCACTTGGAGAGCGAGGACAGCCTCCACGTGATGAAGAAGAAGCATCAGGAGACCATCCAAGAGTACATCGACCAGCTCGACGCCATGTCCAAGACAAGATCAAGGTCAGATCTACGTTTTGGCCGAATGCGTTCTGACACGATTTTGCTTCGGTTCGTATTAAAAATACGTGGCTTTGTCACAAGATCGATACTTTTGGCACATTCGCTCGAGCTCAGTCAAGCTGGGCGCGATTGGCACGGATACACGGATATCACCAACAGTATCTTTGTCAGCATCCCACAGCAATGCACAGCTGTGTGAATCATTTTAGCCATAGAAGGCGCTTACGTTATATGTTCTCTTTCAGAATCGAGAAGGAGAAGAACAAGTTCCAGTCGGAGCTGTATGAGCTCATGAGTCAGATGGAGGGATCCACCAAGGAGAAGGTAGTGTATGTCTTGGTACAACGCATCAAATAGACAGATTCATTCACGGGCGGGTGTTATATAATAGCTTCAATCACCTTCCTTGGGCTTCTGTGTAGTGTCGTTGGATATGATCATACTATCCACGTCCGATCCCAACTCGCTTTTGTGCCTGTTCAAAGTTACCAAAATGACTGATCTATAACAATGTGTTGCCGATGCCTGCTCCTGACGAGCAAACCGCCATCACAGAACTCTAAGCTGTAGTCCGCGCTATCAGCTGCCTATTTTTGCATTGCAGCCTACCGATACATGCGGCCCGCCTGCTGCCTTGATAGGGTAGTCAGTGCACCCAATGATCCTCAATACACCCACCGATCCTCAATGCACCCACTGATCCTCAACTTGGTGGCCAGGTGGCCATCACCAAGCACTGCGAGAAGCTGGAAGTGCAGGTGCATGAGCTGAACGTCAGGATTGAGGAGATTAACAGGACTGTTATCGACCTGACCAGCATCAAAACGAGGATCTCGCAGGTGAGTTATCGTAGCGTCAGGATTGAGGAGATTAACAGGACTGTTATTGACCTGACCAGCATCAAAACGAGGATCTCGCAGGTGGGTTATCGTAGCGTCAGGATTGAGGAGATTAACAGGACTGTTATCGACCTGACCAGCATCAAAACGAGGATCTCGCAGGTGATTTATCGTAGCGCTGCGCCAGATGCAGACGGGTGATCGAGTGAAACAAAACATCGACGATTCTCAGGATCAGGATCCTGTCGCTGAAGGTTTCTATGGGATGCGGGATATACACGTGGGATCAACGTACATGATTCCTTTTGTGCTCTAGGCTGGTTGCGGAATCGCATTTTTTAATGGAGCTGAGATATTCGCCCTCTGCCGAACAGAAAAGCTCTGTTCAAGCTCTATTTATGAGGGTCGATAAGTCGTGTTCGTTTTAACCATAATATACAGTTCGAAACCAACTCGTGTACTGATGAACTAACCCATTCAAATCGATGCATACAGGCATTCGGGTAACTTAGTTTGATGTGCTTGCAGCCTATTCCACTTTTCGGATTAATTTTACGGAGCGTGAGCTTTATTTCTATCGTGTTTCAAAGTCATGCTCCGCATTTGTTCGGGTGCTCGTTGCCAGGAGAACATCTCCCTGACGAAGGAGGTGCAGGATCTGAAAGTGAGCATGGAGAACATCCAGTACACCAAGCACCAGCTGCAGACGGCCCTGAATGATTCCAACCGTCGTCTGGAGGAGGAGGACAGGGTGAGGAGCGCTGCGACAGCTGGCCAAGGCAGCGTTCATCTGGCCTTGACCTGGCCGGCTGGTGACAGATCAGCTGCAGCATCTCGAGCCCGCTGCCGCCGATTGTTCGGGCCGGGTGTGAGCAGGTCTCCAGACTCCCAGTGAACTCTGATTTGATATCAGCACTGTTGAAATTAAGTTCAAGGTGAAATCAATTCCTCGCATTTCTAGCCAGCCCGAGTCGCAGCACGAGTAGGCCCTATATTCATTAATGTATTCTCTTGAAAATGCAATATTGGATGACTGATGTGCATATATATATATATATATATATATATATATATATATATATATATATATGGATAGATAGATAGGGAGATAGATAAATCGATAGATCTGTAGGCATTGAAACAAAACCCGTGCACTGTAGGCTGAATAGATGCCATTGAAGCACAGCCCATCACGATCTTGGTGTAGACCTGTGAACACAGGCACCAGAATTAAGACTGAACAATACCATAGACCGGCGCCGGACAAGACTGACCCGTTTCGCCGTTGCGCAGCGTCGCAGCACCCTCGAGTCGCAGCTCCACACGGTGGAGCTGGAGCTGGAGTCGGTGCGCCACCAGCTGGAGGAGGAGTCGACGGTGCGACTCGACATCGAGCGCCAGCTGGTCAAGGCCAAGGCCGACATGGACAGCTGGCGCCTCAAATACGAGGGCGAGGCTCAGGCGCGTGCCGAGGAGATGGAGGAGCTCAGGTGGGTCACGGGGGAGGGAAGTTGGTGAACCCAGAGGGTCAACGTGAGATCAGTTCGCAGCGGTGAGGTCAGGAATCCAAGCAGATCACGGCGAAAAGATCAGGAACCCAGGCGCATTACAGCGGGGAATCCAAGAGCACATGTGGGTCGCGGCGAGTAGGTTAGGGACGAGGGTGGGTCATAGCGGAACACAGGCGGGTGACATGGGTCAGAGTAGACATTTGAGTGTCTCTGATCGGCCACAGTTGGGGTTGCCTGCAGTTCACATGCAACGTATCGAGAAGATACGTGGTTCACGCGGTCCACCGGGAGTGGATTGGCGGAACGGCGGGGGAGCTAATGGTCCAGATAGGAAAAGATCGAGGTTGTCGTGCATACCCGGGCGCTGGATCTGAGCACGCGCTGAATTGAACATCGGTCCACACATATAAGTTTATTCAGCTGTAATAATAAGTCACCGGTGACTGCAACCTCATCGGAATACTTTACACGGCTCGTACAGAGACAGGTGACGCGATTTGCAGCTCGCTATGCGGCTAAAAGTCTATGCCTGATGTTTTTATGTTTTTGTTTTGCACAACCATGTCTGTTGACATAACAGATGAAAATGGCAGTACAATGAGTCAAAAACATGTTCCATAGGTAAATGCTGCATGTATATTCCACATAATGAGACATCACTACCTTGTTTTGCAGGCGCAAGTTTGCCCTGAAGGTCCAGGAGCAGGAGGAGCACATCGAGACCCTGATGGCCAAGCTGTCCCAGGTGGAGAAGCAGAAGTCCCGCCTGCAGTCGGAGGTGGAGGTCCTCATCATCGACCTGGAAAAGGCCAACGGCTCGTGCCGCGAGCTCCAGAAGCGCGTCGAGCTGCTGGAGCGCATGAACAACGACCTCAAGGGCAAGGTCAGCAAGCTGCAGAACCCATTAAGACCTCGCATTTTGGCGTACAGCTAGCTTGCTGCAAACTTTCGCTGCACTGTCAGCCGCAACTGACCGCCCTAACGATCGACGCGTTTTGGGTCAAGTCCTCCTCAAAGAGGACTTGACCCAAAATCACATGTCTGAATGCAGAATATGCTTCATTGGTAGACACGTTAAAAGCTCAACATTGGGTCTGATGATGGGACGTGGAGAAACCACGACAAGCCTTCTTCAATGTTAGTTGTGGCAATAACAAGCGTTTCATCCTAGTCGAAGGGACGGTGCGTTATTGGGTACATTATACCGTCGTACCCTGGCCAGGACCCGCCTCAGGCCCTCGCGAAGGCAGTGGCCAGAAGCGTCGGAGTTATAACACCTGCCACCCAGCCAGACGTGTGAAGCGACCGGAGCTTGACATGCTGATTACGCCCGGCAGCTGGACGAGGTGGCCGCCCTGTACGAGCAGAGCCAGCGCGACAACCGGGCCAAGGCGGCCGAGATTCAGCGGCTGAACGCCGAGAACGACAAGCTCAAGGAGCAGAACAACAACCTGGGCCGCGACAACAAGAAGCTCGGAGGTCGGTGGCACGTCGGCAAAGTGGCCCGCTCTGACGTCACGAACACAATTTTTGTGTCCTGTTGAATATGTGTGAATTCAAGGGTGTTTTGAAGTTAGTGCAACAAGTCATCAATAGCCCTAGGCAGCATTGATGTACTAATTTGAGTGTAGTGGTGACTCCGAACAGTGCAATGTCTATGTTTACATCCTCGCCACCACTTAGCAGCACCCCGTGCTGCTAAGCTGCTAACCAGCCATTTGTGGCCGCCAAGTGACGTCATGGTGGTCTCCTGCAGACGAGAACCATGACCTGAAGAACGCGCTGGCCGAGCTGACGCGCCGCTACCACGAGCTGGAGCTGGAGAACCGGCGGCTGGAGAACGAGCGCCAGGAGCTGGCAGCCGCCTACAAGGAGGCTGAGGCCGTGAGTAGCAGCCAGTCACAAGCGCGGCCGAAATTTTGCGGGCTCATCACAGAACCTTCAGTTGTATATCGAACAAGCAATTGACTCGTCACATTGTCACAAAATGACCCTTGACTTGCCACAAAACTTTCAGTTGCATATCAAACAAGCAGCTGCTAGTCGTAATGGCGTTGACGGTGATCTCTGTGCAACAGGTGCCCTACCGCAACCTGCAAAGGTGTTCACATTGTGTGGATGCGTTTATATGCGATCTGTTCCCCATCGTTTTTATGGAGTTATAATGTGGTAAAAGATTAAATTTTAACGGCCGTCAAAATTGAGCACAAAAGAGGCTGTAGCAAGGGTTTTTATGAGTGATGCAGACACATCAGTGCAAGTATTTTCATTATCTTCTCTTTTTCGGCTTAAAACCGTGACCATAAAACTGCGAGATTAACTTTGACCTGCAATCAAAAATTTTTGAACCAAGTAAGGGGCGGAAAAAGTCTTGACCTAAGCCATTATCTTGTCCAAAATAGAACCGTCTGTTTTAAAACTACGACGTCAAAACTTGGAAAGCAACTGCTTGGCAACTGAGATGGCTTAAGGTAATCTTGTCGGTCATGTATTGTGCCCTCACACAACGCGCGAGCCATTCCATTGCCTCCGGCCTCGACCTGTTGTGACGTAGCGCTAGAGCATCATCAGCCGCTCTGCTGCGTTCATTAGCACGGCAATGGGAAATTTTGGCGTCCTACCTCTACGGCCCGTCTTTGAACTACTTACGGTCACATCATTTGTTGCCGTAACATTGCGTGCGCCCATTGTTAAATGCTTGAGTCACTTTGTGACGAGATTCAGGCGTCCTTTTCACCCGCACTGCTCGCTTTAAGTAACTTAAGCTTGAGTTAGGCACACTTAACTTCGCGTTAAGTGCTGATGTCGGGTGGCTGCTGCTCGCGTCATCAAGTGTTGATATCGGGTGGCTGCCGCTCGCGTCATCAAGTGCTGATGTCGGGTGGCTGCTGCTCGCGTCAGGTGTTGATATCGGGTGGCTGCTGTCCGCGTTGTCAAGTGCTCATGTCGGGTGGCTGTGCTTGACAGGGCCGCCGGGCCGAGGAGGGGCGCGCCCAAATGCTGTCTGGTGAGTTGAGCCAGGTGCGACACGAAATGGAGAAGCGCATCTCCATGAAGGATGAAGAAATCGAGTCCATCAGGCAAGTGGTGGAATAGGAAAATGTCAGCCGAGTTCTTTTCATTCCTGCGCAGAAAAAAGCGAATAAGTCCGCCAACTTTTAACTGATGTTCTTAGTCGTTCGAAATTACCATCATACTTGATTTGTTTTTTATTTGTTCTGTAGAATAGAAATAGCCCAATCTAAATTTTAACTGGTGCAGTAAATTTCTACATTGTAAGAGGATGTTGGAAAGCATACCCTGGAAGTTCTCAGAATTTTTCGAAAGGCAGAATAAAAAGTTTGCGCCGAGATGAAGGTTGGAAATGGCAGCACTGAGTGAAGTAGGAAATCTTGCTTGCCTAAAGTGATGTCTACGGGTGGTGGATGATGACACGTTGGATATGCGAACAGCAGGATGAAATTTTTGGACCATTGCAGAGCGCTACCATTCTAGTTTTTCCGCACATCGGAGCAATCGCATGTGGGTTGAAGTAGCACAAGCCAGCCTTTTCAGGTCAGCTCTCTGCACCAGCGTCGCCATCAGGAGACAGCAGACAAATGCGCAACGCCTTCGAACTTTAGCTTTAGATCCCTCACGCTGCGTGAATAGCATGACATCAAAACGACCTCGGTCCACTCTTGTTGTTCCTCTCCCTCTCATCAGTTGACAACGCGACTCCGTTTTAAAAATCAGATTGGTTGTGGTGGTGGTGGTGCTTAAGTTGACGGCTCTCCTTCCACAAATGACTTCAGTCGATATAACTGATCTGTAATTCCGTTTGAGATCGCGTTCGGAAAGATCTCTCGGTTGCATTCTGAATTACCATCGGAAGGATAAGAACACATCGTGTGGTATCTGACCCACCGGTAACTGCGCAACCACGCCTGCAATTCCTTTTGACACAACGACCGACGCGCCTGCAGGAAGTCGCTGACGGTCGAGATTGAGCAGCTAAACGGCCGGCTGGCTGACGCCGAAGCCCGACTCAAGGCCGAGGTGATCCGCATCAAGAAGAAGATGCAGATCACCATCACCGAGCTGGAGATGTCTATCGATGTGGCCAACAAGAACAACATCGAGCTGCAGAAGAATGTCAAGAAGCTGTCGCTGCAGGTAAACTGATTTACTTCATCGCCGCTTGCATGGCAGTCTCTCCCAATGTCTCGCCAGCCCATGGTCGTGTTGTCTGGGACGGGACTGCCCGTGGGAAGTTGCGCATATCGTCTTCATTCTCTGATGTCTTTCTGGATTGGAATAGAAATGTAGTCCGGCCTTGTAGTCTGTGTCTGCCCCGATAGCTCAGTGGGTTAGAGCGCGTGCCTTCTGATTCACCGACCCGTGGCGGGGTAGGTTCGAGTGGCTTTAGGCGCTCGCTATTTGTCTTTGACAGATATGTCCTGTTGCCGGTGGCAGCGGTCGCGCTAAAGGCCAGGTGACGTCAGAGGGTAGGGCGGACCGTGCCCAGCATCGCGGCACGTTAAACTTCTGCCCCTAAAGTCTGTCCTTGACCTGGAATTGCACAATAGGATGGCAGGCGCCATCGTTTACACAAGAATCATTGCTTAACGTTAGCTCTGATCACAAAATTGCATCCACTCAAAAAGCTTGGATTCCACCTTTAAAACGTAGTGAGCTGCTTTGTGAGCGATGTGAGCATTTCCTACCTGCGCACATTGGACTGTGTCTGTCTTTTCAACTCACGGAGCTGTAATCATACGGAATTTCAGTGCCATTGGCCGGCATTTGCCTTCCTGGCTGGTGGAGTCACAGGCCGTGTCCTCTATGCCCACTGACCTCTGTCTGTCCCGCAGCTGACGGAGTCACAGGCCCTGCCCCCCTTGCGGACTGGCCTCTGTCTGTACCGCAGCTGACGGAGTCACAGGCCCTGCCCCCCTGCCGACTGGCCTATGTCTGTACCGCAGCTGGCGGAGTCACAGGCCCTGCTCCCCCTGCCGACTGGCCTCTGTCTGTACCGCAGCTGACGGAGTCACAGGCCCTGCCCCCCTTGCGGACTGGCCTTTGTCTGTACCGCAGCTGACGGAGTCACAGGCCCTGCCCCCCTTGCGGACTGGCCTTTGTCTGTACCGCAGCTGACGGAGTCACAGGCCCTGCCCCCCTTGCCGACTGGCTTCTGTCTGTCCCGCAGCTGACGGAGCTGCAGGCGCACTACGACGACGTCCAGCGCCAGCTGCAGGCAACGCTGGACCAGTACGGCATCGCCCAGCGGCGCATCCAGGCGCTGTCGGCTGAGGCGGAGGAGATGCGCGGCAACCTGGACCAGGTGCGGAGGCGTGCCCCCCCCCCCTTCCCCCAACCCCTCCTCACGGCTGGGCCATCCCTCTGCCATCATGGCAAGATGGCCCGGCTTACTTGGGCCTCCTCCCTTATTGTTGCTTCGTTGATGAACCCAGTACCTTTGGCCATCGAGTACTGTTAAAATTACGTGTATGCACGGACGCACCAGCGTGTTATTCAATGTGATTGTGTAACTCTAACTGTGTAAATTTAACAGTGTAACTCAATGCAAATAGCATTGGACGATGCGCTGTATCTGTAGGAGCAGTCCGGCTGGCAATCTGAAACAAACGTGTATCTGCGCTCTTTTTTAGCAATGCATCCCAGGTTACGGAAGGTTATCAAAAATCGGCCGTTTTATCAGCAATCTCAGTGCCAATCAGCAATTATCAATTCAAATCCCAGCGATCCCAAAGAAGGGAGCTGGGTGGCCCCGATGACCGATCCCCGCAGCGGATCTGACGCATGCGCCCCGTCCTTCAGGCTCAGCGCCTGAAGCGTTCGGCTGAGGAAACGTGCGAGGAGTTCCGCGTTCGCATCAACGAGCTGCAGACGGTCAACGTCAACCTGACCAGCGTCAAGAGCAAGCTGGAGCAGGAGCTGGTTAACCTCACGTCTGACTATGATGAAGTCACCAAGGAACTCAGGGTTAGTGGTTCAGTATTTTTGTTATTCTTTTGCTCATTATATTGCATGTTTCTTTGCAGTGATATGCCACTGATTATCAACGCCAAGCGCATGCATTGACCCATCTTACAGACGGGGTGACAGTTATTCAGACCGCAACGCAGCTGTCTCTCAATTTTCATTTTAATGCACCATAAATTATTCCATTTAAATTTCGATTAAAATGCATCACAAGTTGCCACACTCAATGTTCTCCCAACGGATGCGACCAAACCACGCGTCATGCTTTCATTCGCCCGTACGCTCACGTACACAACCGGTGGGTCATCTCTCAACGCGGTCCTCATGCTATCGGCAGGTGGTGGACGAAAGGTACATGAAGGTGCAGAACGAGCTGAAGCACTCGGTTGAGATGCTGACGGAGGAGCAGACGCGCATCGTCAAGATCGAGACCATCAAAAAGTCGCTGGAGGTGGAGGTGAAGAACCTCACCATCCGGCTGGAGGAAGTGGAGGCCAGCGCCATAGCCGGCGGCAAGCGCGTCATCAGCAAACTGGAGGCCCGCGTGAGTGTCCCGCCTGGTTTGGCAATACGCTGTTCAGACAGTTGAATGCGGGGTGGATGTCCGTGAGTGCAAACAACTGGAAATCTGCTCAGCTGGGACGTCAGCATGACGTGGGACGTCACTCGACAATGAGACGATTAGCATCGCTTTAAGAAGCATTTTGAGGCATCGTACTGGAGGGTACTTTATAACCATAAGGTAAAGTTGGGTGCAGTGCATATCACATAAATACACCGTCAAGTTTATTTTTTTAGAGTACTTTATGGTGAAACAACTGTAAGTTGTTCGGAATCAGTGACAGCGTTTGTTGGCGTGTTAGTCGGTGGCTGCCCTGTATAAAAGGAGGTTATAAAGGCTGTCTGATGTCGAATTATCTCAACGCTCTACGACACAATGTCATTGCCATCCAGCAAATCCCTTATAGCTTGACAAGGCAGTTGGAGCCGGCAGGTGCACACGAGAAACACGTGTTTGCACGTGTTTTCTGTAAGCATTAGTGCTATCCAATAGTGCCAGGCTTAATCCCATATGCTGCAACAACACTCTAATGATCTGCTGTTTGTCGTCCAATGCTGCTCACACAAATTCATTCAATTCATCAATTCATTTCCAGCTGCGCGACCTGGAGCTCGAGTTCGACAACGAGAAGCGGCGTCACGCCGAGACCCTCAATCAGCTGCGCAAGAAGGAGCGCAATGTGAAGGAGCTGATGATCCAGATGGAGGAGGACCAGCAGAACATCTTGATGCTGCAGGAAACTCTCGACAAGCAGTCCCAGAAGGTACACTTATGCACTGTGGCTTGAGAGTGTTCAGGATTCGGATGGTTGATTTCCTTCTCGGCCATCGGGAACCCTGAGATCTGCATTACTTCCGGAGACAGAGTGTTACTTCACTCCCCGCACTTAACCGAACAATCGGCTGTCTGTCGCTGGTGTAACGCTGCCGCCGTTCCCAGGTAAACCTCTACAAGCGCCAGCTGCAGGACCAGGAGCAGATGTCGTCGCAGAGCATCACGCGCGCGCGCCACTTCCAGCGCGAGCTGGAGGCGGCTGAAGCTCGCGCCGAGAGCGCCGAGACCAACATGAACATGATCCGCACCAAGCACCGCAGCTTTGTCACACAGTCGGCCGTGCCGGGTGGCTCCATCACGGTGGTGCAGCAGACCCGGAGCGTCGAGCAGTGAGACGCGCCGCCAGTGCGCATCCCGCCGAAGAGCGGCCCTCCCGGGCGCCGGCGGCCGCGGCTGGGCGGCCCCGGCGCCCGCGAGCCCGCGGCGGAGAGCGGCCCCTCCCGGGCGCCGGCGGCCGCGGCTGAGCAGCCCCGGCGCCCGCGAGCCCGCGGCGGAGAGCGGCCCCTCCCGGGCGCCGGCGGCCGCGGCTGGGCTGCCCCGGCGCCCGGCAGCCCGTGCCCGCTATGGCCCCTTGACCCCGCCTGTCCCTGGTCCGTCGGCAGCTGTAGTGGCCCCCGCCCAGCGTCAGTGACCCCTCTGTGTCCGCCCCTGCGTGGCACGTCCTCCGTACCGAGTCGGGTGAATGCGAGACTGAGCGCCTTCGGGTGCCAACGAGCGCCTGTGCGGGCGTAGGTCGTGGCGCGAGTCGACTCGAGGTCGTCTGGGGCCCACACCCCTGCGGCACGCTGACTGCCTCTGTCGGCTTAGCACCCGGCCGCTCGCCGCCTGGCCAAACGACGACAGCCAAACGAGTGTAAAATACATGTGAATATTGTCAAACATGTGTGACCTTTTGACAACGTTATGGCGAACTGCGATGACGTCATCGAATAAAAGAACACCTAAAACCAGATATTTGTTTGAAGAACTTGTTGTTGCTATCATTGACAGTACGCTCAGACAAATGTGGGCAGCCCGTCTTCACTCAGGTCGAAGGACGCAGGCACGGGTTCAAAACGAGTAATGGATCTCGGTAAGGTTGCTAGTAAATAGCTGTTCTGTTTGGCCATCATCCACAGCATATTAATGTTTTTATGTTGCTGTCTTTTATGTGCATCGCGGGGCCCGAGTAAAAAACAACACAAATACAGGTAGCAAGTGATTGATTGCTTGATTTGCCATGACATGATGCATATTTACACCCGCGATCACCAGGGATGTTAAGTGTTTCTCCGGACCGCAGTAGGTGGGTTTTCAATGTTGATAATATGACAACTGCTAAACTCGACACACAAGACCAAGAAAATATATGATGTCAGGTCGTGTTAGTATGTCGTGATATCATCTGCGGGGGCCTCCATGGAGCGGTCTGCTTCCATATGCAATAAACCACGGCTCCTTCCTTGCTTCCTTGTCGTCAGTGAGGGCCTCCATGGTGACATTTGCTTCCATATGTAACAAACCACGGCTCCTTCCTTGCTTCCTTGTCGTCAGCGAGGGCCTCCATGGTGACGCTTGCTTCCGTATGCAATAAAACACGCCTTCCTTGCCATCAGCGAGGGCCTCCATGGCAAGGTTTGCTTCCATACGTCATAAGCCACGGCTTCTTCCTTGCTTTGATAGCTTTTATTTGATTTGTCGACTGGTTTGGCAGTCGTGATCTGTTCCAGCAGTCGTGATCTGTCACGTTACCCCTGTCACCCGAGGAAACGCTATCATCATCGGAGGTCATGTGAGGTAAACTTTCGGGTCATGAGGGCTGTAACTTACACCTCCGGCTGAAAGCGGCTGTAACTTACACCTCCCACACCAATAGCTTCTTAAGAGGACATTGGAACGGAAAGATAGGAAAGATTACATCCGATTAGATGACTTAGACTTGACCTGGTATGATTATATTTGACATGGCTTTGGTCGGACCTCATATTGACCACTGAACGCTTTGACATAATGGTATATTTCTAATTGCAAGTACACTTTCTTTACAGGGTGTCCCGAAATTGATGCGCGGTTGGTGCCACCTATCATTTCCCCTCTCCCGAACGCTGAGTGAATGTAGTTGTACCGCGCTCGGCCGCAGGGCATCCCGCCGTGTCAGGCGACCACATGACCCCAGCGGCCGGCCTGACCTCGGCCTGCAGTGGGCGGGAGAGGTCATTCCTTTCGAGGTAGCAAACACGTCGAGTCCGTATATCGCCAATGGTGAAAGAGCAAAAGCGATTGGCCGGCTACCGCGCGGTTAGACTGGTCAAGGGCGGCATGACTCAGGTCCAGGTCGCCAGGGACTTGGGCGTCAACATAGCGACGACTAAGCGCTGGCTGGCCCGCGACCGCTCAGGGGAGATGCTCGAAAACCGCACAGATTGTAGGCGGAAGTCGGCTTTGAGCCGAGTAGCGAAGATCGTCATTGCAAAGTCGGCCTTCAAAAGGCGCCACTTGACGAGAACCCTGGCGAGAAAAATGAAGGCAAAGAGGCGCCCAGCCTCCAAGTCGGCCGTCCACTGGTATCTGAAGACCACCCTGCAGCTGAAGCCGCTCAAGCTCAGGTTGCAGTCAATACTTACCGTGGACCGGAAGCGCAGGCGACTGGAACTCACCAAAGCCCGCAAGATCTGGTCCGTTCAAGACTGCAGACGCGTCCTGTTCAGTGACGGGTCGCCCTTCGAGATCTTCCAAGACTCAAGACGTTAGAGCGACCGGGTCTGGGCCAACAACAGCTCGGAGGTGCCGTTCGCCGAGACAGTGAAGTAGCTGCCTGATATTTTTGTCTGGGGCATGATGAGCTACAGAGGCCTCTCTGAGCTGCACCACGTCCCGCGCGGGCAGACCGTCACCGCCGACTACTACGTCAGAGAGGTGCTGGAGAAGACTGCAGCCTCGGAGGAGGAGAGAACGGCCCGCCAACCAAGGTCAAACTCCTGCCAGACATGTCGAGGGCGATTTTGCAGCAGAACAGTGTTCCAGCTCATGACGCCAGGAAGACCCACGACTGGTACAGCGCCGACTTCCCGGGCTTCTAGGAGAAGGGCAGGTGGCCGAGACGACAGCCTCGACACATTGCCGATCGAGAATCTCTGGACGATCTCAAGGAGGAGCTCAGCCAGATGTCGCCGGCCACTTCAGAGAAGACCCTGTTCCAAAACATGTAAGCGGCGTGGCGGAGGCATAGACTCTCGGCAACCTGATGTGCGGCATGCCGGAGCGCGCGCGACGGTGTTAACGACTGCGTGGGGATCACATTAGCAAACGAATTCTGAGCCGGTCTCAATAATTTTCTCTGTTAGTGAGGACAATACAACCGCGCATCAATTTCGGAACAACCTGTGGTTTCGTGCCCAGGCGGTTACTAGAGAGCCCCAATCTTCCAAAGATACTAGTTATTTTCATTGTATTTTTGTGCGACCTGTGACATCAGCAGTCACGTGACTGATGGAAACTCTCCAGGTTATGATTGGCTAGGGCTATCGGATGCCACTTGAGCTTTCGGATTCGTCGATTAAACCCCTTTCCCTTTCCTTTTCCGTAACTCTCCTTTTTCCTTTAAAACCCTTTCTCTTCTCCTCCCGTGGGATTTCAAGACTTAACCGTTGGGGTCAGAAATTTCCGCACTGGGGGATTCGCCGACAGCAAAACTGCAATAGCAATTCATTCAGGGCTTTCGCTGTGCCGGTCAGGATGTCCAGCCGCGCCCGGCGCCTGGTTGGCAGAGGCCAAATGACGCTTTGCGATCCTCCTGCGGAAGACTCAAAGTGTCACGATATTTGCCCACTATGATCTGAAAATATGATAGAGTAATAGATGCTAAAATCTGGACGGCGCAACAGTGATCAACGGTGTCAACGTTGTCACCGGTGTCACCGCAGTCAACCAGTGTTTAGGTACCGAGTAGTTCTTAGTGTTATCCTACCATTGCTCGAGGCTCATGATCACCTCGGAGTCCGAAACAACCCTTTATGATCTTGGCAGCCTTGTATTATCTAGGAAAAGTCTCAGGGGTGGATCCAGGATTTCGTCTAGGGTGGGAGGGGAATGCAAAATCGTGGGACCTCCCTAGAACTTAGGGC